AAAAAGACTTCTGGCACGACTCTCTCCCACGCTGCTCCCCTTTCTGTGGAGGGAAAAAAAACCCAACAAACCAACAAACAAGCACTTTTCTTTATGTGGTAAATGAGTGCTAGTTAAAATTAGATGAAGTGTTAGCTGTCACAGCAGTGTGGGGTGGCTAGTGTAGTGAGCGCTTGCTGTAGTGGTTGGAAAAAAGAATGACCCCCCTGTATTCTTGGCTCTGTGGTTTTTTGCTTGTGTTTGTTCTCATTTACCTGCAGGGCAGCTGGCTCAGTTCTGCTGTTCAGAAACTGGTGGAAACCTTCGTCTGAAAAAAACCCCAACATCTTAATAATTATTACTTCAGTAGAAATAGATGGTCATTGGTGCACCGTGTGATGAACTTGAAACCTCAGCTCCTTTCATTGCTTTTAATTAACTCAAAATATTTAACTTGGGTCCCACGTTGAGGGGCTGTTACCAAATAGTTTTAGAAGAACTTGTTTGGAAGTAAGCCAGAAAGTAGCAACTTTTTTGGTTTTATAAAAGAAAATAATTTACCAAGCCATTAGTTACAAAATCTATTAATATTTCATGTATGCTAGATAGTTTACTGAACAGCTGTTGGATGGTGTACTGAAGGGGTTTTAGGTAAAATTCTGAAATTCTCCCTGCGTAATCAATTCATCTGTGAATTTATCAGTTCACCTGTGATGAATTCAGTGAGTCAATTAACTTATGCTTTTATGTCATAAAGATCTCAAAATGGTGCTGACTTGTGGGGGACAATCACATTCAGGTTTTTAAAATGTAATACCGACTCTTCGTTCAGTAAATGCTCCCGGTAATTCAGAATCAGAAGAATCTAGATTGGAAGGTGCATCTGATCAGGTACCAGCATTGCTGTATTGCATTTCAACTTTTCTCTGTGTATACTGACTTTTTCCCCTGATGTAGTGCTGTTGTATTAGGAATGTGAAGGTGGGAGGTAGGAATTAGAAAAGATTCGCTTAAACATCAAATAAATGTCTAGTCACAGAAAGCAAGTAATTTTTAGGTGTCATGGTACTTTTGTGTCAGGGGTTTGGATGTTACAGTTATTAATATTTATTATTTTCTTTCTTGAGAACTTGAAAGCCCTTGATAGCATGTGAGAATTTCTAATTGCATAGGAGTTGAGAGTAGCTGTGATGATCAGAAGGGAGTGGCAAGTGAAGAGAACCAGCCTTGTTCTCTTAATTCCACTTTTTTTTATATGAGCTGCATATAATGACCTCCAGGAAATCAAACTCTGCATTCTCCTGAGTATGTTGATAAGAGTTGTTTGCTGGGCAGGCAGGTTGGGTTGGTTCTTTTGCAGCCCTTCGCCTGTTGGTCTAAGCTGTGGGGATGAGGAAGAAGTAATTCTATGTGCAGAGTTTTACTGCAGGACTTTTCAAGGGCATAGATGGTTCCCACTTTTTCTTTGGCTCCATATTCCCACTGACAATGTTCAGTGACATGAAACTCACTTCTGAGACAAAACTTTTCCAGCACCTTGAAGATCTCTGCGTGGGTGATAGAGAAATTCATCAACATGAAGGTTTCTTGTGGACCTTTTTCTCTAGCGAGATTCTGTTCTGAGGAAGTATTGTATGAGAGAGAAGTGTGGCGGCCGTAGTACTCATCTTGAAAGTTTGAGGTGGTGGTTGAATTCCGGGAAGTTTCCACTAGAAGAAGAGCTGAATGTATGGTTATCTGAGACTTTCTCAGTCATCTCTGGCTAGTGTTAATGTAGCGGTATTGTAGTGTCCTTTGAGTGATTTAAAACCAGTAGAAAGTGATGCATTGTTAAATGTACACTAAGGATTTTCATTGTCCTCCCACGACAAAATACAGAATTTATTTCCTTCTGCTAATATGTGTAAAAAGGTTTTTTTTTCTTATCACTGGAGGCTTTACAAACCAGTTTATAATATCAGGCTTGTGAAACTAAGTTTCACATGTCTTCCTTCTATCAACTCTTCATGGTAACTGCAAAGTAAATAGTGCTGAACTTGACTAAATGCTTGCCAATAGTTGTGGAGAATTCCTTTTTTTGATGCTTACTGAACTACAGACTACCTTTATCTTGAAACTAGGACCAATCATGCAGCTGTCATCCTTAGTAAGGGCAGTTTTCACTTTTCGTGAAAGTTCCATCTGAGAAACACATTTTCGGTGGCTGCAGTGATTAGAGAACAGAAAAGCAGCATCAGGAGAGCATGCATTTTTGTCACCTTGAGGGTGACATTTTATCTTTTTTTCCCCCAGTATTATCCTTTTTATCTTGTGCTGCTTTGTCCAGATGTGCCCTTCTCTTTCTGTGTCCATCCTAGTTTCCTGCTCATCTGTTTAGCTTTTAGCCCTACTCTTTAATTCATACTCCACATCATATCTCTTGCCCTGCATTGCTTAATTCCCTTGTACCTGTAGGTATGTTGCATATATATATGGTGCTTAATCTTGTGATTCTTGGGGTTTTGGGTGGCTTGTTTTTGGGGATGGTGGTGATGGTGTTGTAGAGCTAATCTCTGAAGATGTAGTTTATTTCCAGGCATTCCTTTGGGATGCTGAAGGGGCAGGTGGGAGTAAGTGACACTTTTCCTCGGGCTAGTTCTGTCTCTCTGTAGTGTTCTGAGGATTGGAGTGCAACTTAACTGTTTGAACACCATGTTGTGTATAATAGATAAATACTTTTTTTTTTCTGTGAATGGGAGATCTGAAAAAGCACATTCCATTTTCATCACAAAAGATAGTCGCCATTAGAATCACAATTATAGTAAAGAGTTAGACGTTTACATAAATAATTATTTCCTGTGTGTTTTGAAAACCCCTTAACTGTTTTATGTTGAAATTTATCAGATTTGAATCACGGTGTAATAAATATTCTCTCTCTCTTTCCAGAAGGGAGTAATTTTGGCACATACAAAGAAGTATTTATATATTTAAATGTAGTTAGTATCTTTTGCTTAAAGTTTGCATACATTGTATGATGAACTGTGGCTCAAAGGAAAATCCTGTGCCTTTTGATACCTATTTCAGATACTTCTGAGAATTCATCAGCGCTCTATGTTGTAAATGTTGAAAGAAATGGAAAAATTATTTATACCTGGAAGGTAAGTCTATCTCAGAACTTAATAAAAGTATAGTAGAGAATAACACTGTTTGTATGCCTAATTGGGTCTTTGTAGTTTAAAATTTTTTTGCAGTGAAGATTAGAACATGAAAACTGGACTGATTACAGCTTGAGGGGTTGGGCAATAGGAAAATATCTGTTTCTGCTTCAGACAAAGGTTAAGAATGGTGAAATGGAGAGTAAAGTACTGACATGATTAAATCCATAGGGTTTTTGCTGCTGATTTTTTGGGAGGCCAGAATCTTGCCCTGAATGAAATGCTATTTCTTTGGCAGATAAACTCTTCTTAAGCAGCACATTCTTCCACCCTCAGAATTTCCCAGGGAAGTCCGACTATTAAATTCATGTGCACTGCTTTAGTTAAAATATGTTTCCTCCTACCAATATATATGTTAAGATAGTATTTACCTAACACTGTCAGCTTCTGCCTTTCCTCTTTGATACTTCAAGATTCATCCATAGCACTTTATCGCAAGTAGTGTGACGTAACTGTTGTTTATGTGATGCCTTGAAGTATCTAGTGCTGTCCTTTCTAACAGAGAATTCTGGTCTCCGTGACATATATATAGCTTTTGGGTTGAAATGCCTGTGGTTCTGAGAGATTTTTAAGTGGTTTGAGGAAGTTTCCCTGTGATGAGTCAAGCTGTGGTTCTTTTCTGTGCATCTCGGAGAAATCTGTCGACCCAGCTGGTTTCTGGAAGATCTTGGTTCTTGAAGAGTGCAGATGGGAGGTAGCAGACTCCAGTAGAATAGGGCTGCCTTTTGTTCCCCTCCGGCTCAACAACTCTGCAGCTTCCCTAGGGTTAAGGGAAGAGGTGAGGCCTTCGTCAAGGTATAACACGCTTTAACTGTGGGTGGATGTTTCCTTTAGTACAAGCGTAGGGAGGGGAGTCTGTACAAGACAACAGTAACCATAAAAACAATGCTAAAGAATGTGTCAAGGTTTTGCTGGGTTGTTTGTGTTTTTTTTTTCGTTGCTCAAACTCTAGAAGGACTTAACGAAAATAACCCATCTGGCTCCCAGCAGATCTGGTACTGTGTGCATGTGATGCTGCTGCTTTCTAGCCTCTGTGGAATCTCACACTAAGCTCCTTTGGGCTTCTGACAGCAGAGTCCAGCTGCCTTGTATGCTATTCAGTCTCTTGCAACCGGCACAAGGGCTGAGTTGTAGCTCAGGGTTTGCACATTTAAGTGTAGGTATGTGTTTGTGTGCTGGGTGTGTAAGCTCCCGTTGTAGTCAGTGTGGATCTGGTGAAAACAGTTGGTGGAGTTTGGAGAACTGGCCACTTGTAGCCTGTACTTTGGGAGGAGGCGTGTGGGGTGGAGGAGGTGGACGAATACCCACTAGACTCCATTGGCTGAATAGGCCAATGACTCTCAGGAAGATTTAAATACCTAGGCTTAGTTCCCTGAATCTAGGGTTAAAGACTGCATAGGAAGTCACTGAAAATGTTCACTGTAGTTTCCCTATCCTAATTTTGGGAATAAAGTGACCTCTGCAGCCTGTGTGGTAGGAATGGCTGGATAGCAAAGCCTGAGAACTGGAACTAGCAAACAGCACAGCTGTGCGGCAGCTTTCACCTCTCAAGTGCCAACCTGAAGGAGATGCTGCTGCTTCTTTTCCTGTTCTCTTACTATGATATAGTAGTTTGATTTTTTTTATTCCTGAGTCAGTTGACCTGCTGAAGAACCAGTATCTATTTATTCCTCCATTGGGAAGGATGCTGACATATTTTGTTTGCTTCTACTGTAAGTGTTTTTTATACTTGTTAATGGGCAAACTGGAAGATACTTCCTGGAGTTTTCTCACAAAGAACGAATGCATCTTAAGATGGTATAGCATTAAATATATGATGCTTCTCCCAGAGGGAAGTTGCTCATAGTCTGTGGTACACGTTTCTTTCTTGGATCTGTAAAAATTCTGCTCATCAGCTGAAAGTGTTGGTACCCACTTGGGTGCTCTTGATGTCGATGGGAGTCAATACATCCACATTCCTCCGCAAGCATGATAAGAACATGCGGGTGTCCCAAAGCTCATGTTAGGCTAGGTGGCTTGTATATTGACAGGAGCACATGTGGTGGCCCAGGCTGTAGCTGCATAGCGCTCACCCAGTGCCCTGAACAGGCTGGGTCCCAAGCTGCTAACGCTGTGCCTTTCTTGATGTCTGTGCTTTTGTTAAATTAGTTATCTCTGTGTCAGCTGCAGTCACACCTTGGGACTGTGATACCTTAATGCAGGACTGATTTTTTTTTTTCTTTTTTGACTTTCTCAAGAGTAGAATGCTAAAAACCAGCAAGTATTGGGAGGATTGTGTGTCTGTGTCTGTCTTTTTACACTTTATTACTGACTTAACAAGGATTCAATCCAAATGTTTCCTTTTCTGAAACAGTCCATTGACAATGTACGGGTATAGTTCTGTGTTTTGGAGTTTACTACAAACCTTTTAAGAGAAGCATCCATTCATGTTTACACAGAAGAGAAAAGAGTCTTGGTCTATGTGTCTTAGTGAATGACAAGTAGTTTTAGGCCCCAATTTGACACTTATTTTAAATTTTTACAAACTTGTTCTAATTTTTTTTAAGTATTCTTTGCAATTCTCTGTTCTGTTAATATACATTATTGCACTGGAAAGCTTACCTGCGGAAAACAGACTGCTCTTAGTATCTGCAGCTAGTCCTGTTTTCCTTAAACTTACATCGGAGAAATCTCAATGTAATTACAGCTTCTAACAAACTACAGATCTTACTGAATTGTTAAAGCAATTTAATAACTATCTTTCTCTCTCCCCCCCATTCATGTTAAACTACTTGTAATGAGCTATCACTTCTGCAAGACACAGCTGTATGTCTGTGAGCCTTTCCTGTTGGTTTTATAGCAGCAGACTTCAGCTGTGACGTTGTCAGTGAGGATAGTGCGCAGACAGATGTAAATTAAACTGAACTGCCCTGGCTTGTTTCCTAATAGATACAAATAGAAAACAAGCTTTGTCTGCTAAGTAGAAGAAAATCAAGTGCATTCTGCCTGAAATCAGAGGAAAGTGGAGAATTAGCTTTATTTTCAAGTTTATTTTAGAGTATTGCATTGTACTGTAGTTTTGAAAGTGTCTGTCTTTTGTGACATTGATAGTTGGTATAAAGGAAGATATTTTTAACAGAAGTAAATTCTAGTGCCAGTGCTTCTGTTTTGCAAGGCAATACAAGAATCTTTAGAGTAAACATGAAAGCAAGCATGTCACCTTATGCACAGATATGAACACTGATGTAGTCGTGTTACCAGTCTTGCAAAGTGTATTTTTCAGTAGCTAAGTACACAGGATGTTAGCGTTTCAGGCACACTTGGAAAGAATGGTTATTTGTGAAAGCTCTTGCTTCACCTTAAATTAGTAGGTGTGAAGCCTGTGTCTTAAAATAAAGACATTTCGTTTTCCTTGTTTAAATCAGAAGTCAGAGACTTTCATCATTGCCACAACAATAATGAGACACTCAGAAGCAGACCCCTTAGGAAGAGAATACTCAGGCTTTTAACTTCACAAAGCAAGATGGCCATAACTTTGTAAATAACCACAGATTTCTCCTGTCAAGCTGTAGTCAAAAACGACGCTTACTGTGTGAGTGCAAGCCTATGTGGCTGGATTTAATTTCAACAGTTTAGTAATTTAGTGCCTACACCTAGAGTACGTTGATGGACTTCAGCTTGATTCAATGTACAATACAGGCTGCCAAGCAGAATTTATTTAGTATTTTTTTAAATATTTTGAAAATTTAAAGTATGGTAAAAATTACCAAGAAGAAAAATTTTGATTTGTGTAATCTTAGAAGTGCCCACCCCAAAATAATTTTATGTTACTGTCAATAAGCTAGAAAGGATGTGTGTTATGTTTCTTTTCAAAGGCAGCAGGCTAATGGTGTCATCTGGACTTGTGAAATATATCTAGCCTTCAAACTATCTTTTCCTAAGGTAGAGCTGAAATCCTTTATTCAGCCTGCAGCCAGATAACTGGAAGCTGTGTTTGGTGGTTTGATGTTTCTGTGCTCCCTTTTGGAGCAATGACCCATCGAGTTGGTGAGGTTTGGAAAACCAGCCTTAAATTTTCCAGGGGCCATAGCATCTGCTTTCGTTCTTGTACAGACATCTCTCTTCCCGGCCCTGCTGCTTATGACTAAAACCAGTTTAGAACCAAAATGAGAGAGAGAGAGACACTTGGCTTATGCAATGGTTTATGGGATGTGGATTGGCCACATTATCCCATGTCAGTTCTAAAAGGGAAAAAAAAATCTTTTTTTCTTTTTCTTGCCTCACTTTCTTGGAATTAGGTAATTAACTGCTTGTATTATGGAACAAGGAAGTGTGTGATGATGCGTGTCAAAGGGTGAGGGGAAGAGGAGAGGGAGGTAGGAAAAAAAAATTAAAAAATGTTTAACTTTGTATTTATGTACATTTCTAGTGCTAATTTGTTTTCATCCGTAGGGAAATCAGAGAAATACTCACATTGGATTGTATGATCTTCAAACTAAACAAAATGAGGTGAGAGCAATACCAGGCTTCTCCCAGGTGATGACAGTGCTGTGGTGTTTCAGGCTTTGATGCCTTGCAACACAGTATGTTATGTACTGAAGGAGTATATGCTTATTTGGAACAGAGAAGAGACCAGAGAAGGACTGAATCTGTATGACTTGGGAGTAGTAAAGGGTTATGTTTACAGTCTTTGTTTCTGAACAACTGATTCGAGTTCTTTCTGCTCCTCTTCACACTGAACATATGTGCTAAGAAGTAAATGTTTTGAGTTTTCTTTATGTGTGCATCCTCAGTCGGTTTGTAAGAAACTATTCTAAAACTGGATGCAGTGCAATTCAGTGGCTGGAATCATGATAATGGGCCTTTGCAAGTGTCTCCATAACAGTATGAAATGGGTGAAATTTTGTATTTACGTAAAGGTCTGCTGTGCTGCTCTAGTAGCAACATAGAACTTGAAAGAACCGATAAGAAACAAATCAGTGAGAGAAAGAAGTGATACAATTGAGGCTTGAAATATGGTTCTTCTGGCCATGAGATGATTTGCTTTAAAAATAAAAATAGTGTAGTGGTCAGCAGTGTTTTCCCAAGGAGGAGTAATTAGATGGTTTTCTTTATATAGTTAAAAAAATAATTTATTAGCATTAATGTGTTTCTCTATAGCACCTCTATATGTTTGAGAGGGATCTACGGATAATCAGTTGTTCGGTCAACAATGAAAGGACGTTATTGGGTAAATATCTGTTTCATCATTAACTTTTTTCATGCTGTGGTAAAGATGATTTAGTTTAGTAAGATGATACATTTGAGTCTAGAATTACTTAAATCTATTCTGACCCATATGTTGCCCACAGTAGTCTGTGCATTTCAGTGGATCCATCACCAAATAATGCAGATAACAACATAAAGACACAGCTGTAACCATATTTCTGCTTTATTAAAACAAAAATCTAAGACATACTGACCCTTTTTTCACTTCCCCCTCCTTCATTTATACATGCCTTCTACATCTAGAAGAGCTTCTGTTGTTCCTTTAACAAATATGTTTTTGGTAAAAAAAAAAAAAATAAAAAATGTGATGCTCACTCTCCACAAATGTTTAATAAGAGTAGTATCGAATGTGCATGCTCACTGTGGTTGTGTTGGTTTTTTCTTCCCTCAGCGGTCAGCTTCTGTCAGTATACAGAGGAAGAAAGAGTAAGTCGGCTGTTACAGTCAGGTACTACAAATGGATTGTTCTAATACTGCTAGAAATATTGGACCCTTTTGCTTTTTTTCCCCCCACGTAATTTCCTTTTAGAAAACAAAATAGTGTATAAAAAAGAATGTTGTCTAAAGCATGTTCTTTTTTCAGTATCCAGGTATTTAACCTTGCTAATTGAAATTCATCCCATTAATAACGTGAGAGTCCTGAAGGCTGTGGATAGCTGTGTTCGAGTACAGGTGAATTATTCAACTTACCTAAATATAAATCTTTTAAATCCACTGTGCTCGAGGGAAAAAGTGGTTGAGTGCAGAAATATCTCATGTTATCTTGCAGCTGTTACAGAGATAGTATGCTTGTGTTTCTTCATAGAAGGAAAAAAAAAGAGAAACTTCATTAAATGTTTGATGTAGAATATTTCTCTGATATAAAGGCTACTTTTTTATTTCTCTTAAATCCCCTGAAGTTTGCAATTACAGTGATTGGTGACTATTAGTCTGTAATAGCTATTTTTATTAACTAAATATCATTAGTGTGTCATTCTTAATTTAAAATGTGTAAATATCCAGCTAAAAAAAAAACCCACATTTTAAATAAGTGTTCTAAATTACTTTGAGTATTTACTTACTTTTGTAAAACTTTCTGTATAGTTTCTTTATCCAGTTGAAGGCAGAAATACTTCTACAGAAAGTCGCCTCTTGCTAGTTTCGGAAGATAAATGTGAGTTAATATTTTGAAAGTATATTGTCATTCTTTTACTTTAAGATCATCGTTATAGATTATATTTTTAGTAGAATTTTATTGGAAAAAAACAGAGAAAAAAGGAGAGTGAACTGTTCTATATGTATTCTGAATGTCTTTCAAAAAACTGTATAATTTAATGGGATTTTTTTCAATGATAACAGAATGGCCAGCTTTATTTGCAATTATTTGCTTAGTTCATGCATTCATCAGTTATCTTCCTTTCTAAAAAAGCTAAAATAGACTTTTATAGCTGCCTGTGTAAATTCAGAGCAGACAATTGACTATGAGAGATGGATTGTGATTTAACGCATGACAAGCGGGTTAAGAATTGGACAATAGTTCGTCAGATTCAGCACTTCTATACATGTTCAGCCTAATCTAATGGGAGAGAATCGGTAGAGGTGGACGCTTGGAAAAGGCTATTTCTCCCTCTTGCATTCAATCTTGTTATAGAGTGAGATCACTTTTCCCATCTTTTTGGAAAGGCCCATCTTCTCCGCTAAGCTAGACACCAACCTTTAGGTAGCTGGGCTTAGGTGGGTGGTGTTCACCTCTTAATACATTCACATAGTGCTGTGAACTATATCGGGAACATTTATAACATCTGCTGGGTGAATCTTTAACCCTTCACACAGGCAAACAACCAATAACTTTCAGGAATTTTGCGTGGGAAAGGACTGTGAGGTGGTATTCATGCTAGGAAGTGAAACAAGGCTAGGGTGTCATCTTGGGCACAGGTGTGCAGCTGTGCATGCTCTTTCTTTCTAAGCATGCTCCTTGGCTTGGTTTGACATGTTTCAGTGAGCACTCCTCCTGACAGTGCTGTGCTGACATGGACAGAGAACTGTTTCCATGAGGTGATACGGCTGAGGCCAGCTGCAGCTCAGGAAAGGGAGAGAATCCAGGTCTCTGCATAGGCACCTGTGTTCATGTATCACAGATTTTCTCTTACACTGAGTTGAACTTTCCTGGCCCTAAGGTGTTCTGATAGCATTCTAAGAGGTGAGATTGTTTAATAAGCTGTATAAAAGCATATAAAAATGTATGTTTGTACTATTTTTTTTATGTTTTTTAAAGATATTGAACAATTTGACATTCGTGTTGCAGAAGAAGAACACAAAGTGGTAAGACTTGAAAAGTCTTGGGTTTTGAGTTTTTTTGCTTTAATTGAAAATTTAAACATCTGTAATTTTAGCTGTTTTTGTAGTTTTATACTTGAGCAACACAAAGTATATTAAAGAAAGTATTGATAGTATGGCAAATCATGCAGCTAACCACAGAGCTGATTGAAAAATCTGCATGCAGTGTAATCTATGAGGAAAGTTACTCATTTTATTGTTTTTTGTTGCTGAATGCATCTGTATGTTAGAAGTTGGGAGTAAACATTGTATATATACATTTTTAAACAATTTAAAATATTTGCAAAGTTGCCTTCCTAACTTTACCTTTGGAAGTCTGTGTGTCCCAGTAAAAGATTCATTTAAAAGGAACGAACAAAAGACGTAATACTTAGATACACTCGAAGTACTGTGAATGTTCCAGTCTTTTTCCTCTCATCTCTTTTTTCCTGTTTTTAACATGAATTTGTCTTCAACAAATTGGTTGTGGATGTTTTGCTTAAAAGACATTATTAATAAAAATACATCTAATATAGTAAAGAATTGTGTCACGAAAACCAATGTTTCATTTTATAGAGACAAATGTAGGCTTGGAAGGAAAAAGTTAAGATCCTGATTTTCAGTCACTTTGAAGTCTTTCATGGTTTTCTCGAAGTTTATCATTGCTTTTAAATCAGATGGGTTTTATATGGCAGACTACAGTAGTGGAGTAAAGACTACAAGTGGAACCAGAATAAAACAAATCGATCTGATGTCCTTCTAACAAACAGGTTTGGTTTAGTTGACATGAAATCTCCCTACATGTTTCCAGAGTGCATTTATACGATCCCAACAGTTTTCCACAGTTCTAGCTTTTTACTGCCAGCACTCTCCATCATGTGGCAGAGACTTTGGACAGAAATCCCTTTTGGAGCTAATGTGTCTTCCTCCAATAGTTAATGTAGCTGGTTTGGAACCGACAGTGGTATTTCTCTGCTCTCCTGTTCTCTACGATGAAGAGTGCCATCTGTTTTAATTTGTTCACTTTGAGCAGCTTAGGTGGTGAATTTCTTGCAAGCAAGGAAATCTCAAAGGAAATATTTGATAGTAGATTGTTGTGGCTTAGCCCAGCCGGCAACTAAGCACCACGAAACTGCTCGCTCACTCCTACCCCCTGGTGGGATGGGGTGCAGAAAACATAGCAAAAGGCTCTGGACTCTTGGCGAGGACAGGGAGGAATCACTTACCAATTACGGTCATGGAAAAAACAGACTCAACTTGGGGGGGGGAAAGAAAAAATTAATTTTTTGCAAATCAAGTCAGAGTAGGATAATCAGAAATAAACCCAAATCTTAAAAAGAAAAAACCCACTCACTCTTCCCTACCCCTCACTTCTTCTTGAGCTCAATTCACTCCCAAATTCTTTACCTCCTCCTCCTGAGCCGAGCAGGGGTATGGGGAATGAAGGTTGTGGTCAGTTCATCACATGTTGTCTCTGCCACTCCTTCCTCCTCAAGGGGAGGACTCCTCACACTCTTCCCCTGCTGCAGTATGGGATTGCTCCCATGGGAAACAGTTCTCTGTGAACTTCTCTGATATGAGTCCTTCCTATGGGCTGCAGCTCTTCATGAAGTGCTCCAGCATGGATCCCTCCTGCAGGGTGCAGTCCTTCACCAACAGACTACTCCAGACAGCTTCCCACAGAGTCATGGCCTTCTTAGGGCACAGCCACCTGCTCCAACATGGCGTCCTCCACGGGTTGTGGGTGGATCTGTGTTCCATTGTTGACCTCCATGGGCAGCAGGGGGGCCGCCTGCCATCTCACTATGGGCTGCAGGGGAATCTCAGCTCTGGCATACCTCTTCTCCCTCCTTCTCTGGCCATGCTGTCTGCAGAGGTGTTTCTCTTGCATTCCACTCCTTTCTCCACTGCAGCTATGCCGGGCCTGACCAGCCCGATCAACCCTGGCTGCAGACAGCCACCTGCATGGAAGTCTGGGGCCAAGGTGTGCGCCTCTCCCCTCTCTCCACTGCAGGTTCTGCTGCAGGTTGGTTTTTTTTTTTTCCCCCTTCTTAAATGCATTATCACAGAAGTGCAACCACTGTTGCTTATTGGCTTGACTCTCGCCAGAAGTGGGTTTGACTTGGAGCTGGGGAAGTTTCTCCCAGGAGCTGTCCCTGTAGCCCTTCCCCCACTACCAAAACCCTGCCACACAAACCCAATACATAGGTGTACGCTGAAAACTGAAGTTCTGATTTCTAAACTGAGCACCTTGCACACAACAAAGGTGGACTTTGCGCAGCATGTTCCCTTCAAACACCTTAGTATTTGTACCTCTTCTGTCATTGCTTTTCCTTTTAAAGCACAAACTGTAATTGTTACAGAACCTTATTTGACTGACAACTTCTAATGTTTTTTCTTTCCCTTTAGGTGATTCAAAACTCAGGTCAGCTTCCAAGAGCCAGAGTTGTAGACGATCTCATTTGGGCACAATGGGATATGATGGAACAAAGGCTCTTCTACATTGTTCCAAAGGTTAGATGAAAGTAATTCTAGTAGTTTTGTTCCTGCCTGTCTCAGGACAGTGAAGTTTTGAGTATGTGAAGTAATAATAGTTGAGTTTGGTTTTCATTCTAGTAGTCTGTCTTGTTCCTGCCTCAAACAACCTAAAGCAAAAGCCAGACTTGCCTTAACTGCTATTTGTGCATAGTAAATTGCAAGGACTGGTGGTCTCAGTGCTTTCTGGGTGGGTTTATTAGTTTTTTTTCGTTTTAAAAAGGTCTTTTATTCAAAAGGATCTAAATCTACCAAAAATTGCATTGAATTTAATGCCTCTGTTCTAGAGAACTCGCACCTAAAAAGTATGTTGTACACAGACTTACTGGGTGCTCAGATGAGGGCAAGTTCTTGGCTAGAAATGCTGGAACTCTTTGGGTTTGGATTTTTTTTTTGACTGAGATACTGTTTGCACTTGATGTGGATGAAAATTGATTTTTCTTAATTCTTTTTAGCCACCAAAAATGGGAGTGTTAGGAAATAACAGGAAGTGAACTGTGATGGAGAAACGTACTCCTGTTTTTGTTCCCAAGATACCCTTTTGAACTGACCAAAATAAGATACAGTTCCTTTTGCCATATAGGTGGTTATGAAAAGCATTTTTCTAACTTTCTAGAATGTGTGTGTGACATGTAATGCTGTGCTTCAAGTGGAGGCCCACGCAATTATAGAAGGTTGGCAGATAATGATCTGGGACAGGAAGGAAGTATGTCATAATGCTATTGTGGGGGATTATATGTGGTTTTTAAAGTTGTCTTTTGTCCCCTGACTTCTGCATGTCTGTTAGCAAAGTGGGCTGAGTGTATAGAATGCTGTGGAGTATCCAGTCACTTTTCAGTCTATATGATGTGCTTTCTATTTTATCAGTTACAAAGCACATGCTCTTAATTCCAGGAATCAAGGAGTACTTTAAAATGTGTCCAGTTTTATCCTGATGAAAACTTCAACTCAATAGTAAGTTACTAGTATTTTATTATACAATGGTTTTGAGTTGGGTGTAATTATGTGTTCCAAGCACTGATACAGAGATTTGTTTCAGTGTCTTTTATTATTGGAACCTTTGCAGAGGAAAACTGGGTTTTGTTTTTCCAGTTGTTTTTTTGTCATTATATTATTTTCAGTAATATATTCAGTCAGATCCAGGTTGCGCCACAGTAAGGTAACTTCAGTGGAGTTGCACAGATACTGACCTAGAAGTAGGTGACATTCGTGACGTTATACTGACCTTATACTCCAGTATTGAAAACCAGGGTTATCAAATGCACTAGACAAAGAAACCACGTACTAATTTTGTGTCAGTTTTGAGCGAGACAGGAAAATCTGTTGCAACCGAAATATAGAGAACAAAGCATTAAAATTAGAACTGTTGAACATGTAATTGTTACAAGGCTTTTGTCCCAGTGGCTGAAATTTGCCCTGATGTAGAAGGTTAAATATCTCACTTATTATTTAAAAAAAAAAAAATTCCTTTTTAAAAAAAAAGAATCTTTTTTTTTTGTTTTGGGGTTAACTGTAAGGATTAGAGGAGGACAAATAAACTGTTAAAACATTGAATCTGGTGAAATGTGAGTTCAACACATTTTACTGGGCTGACATTAATCGTACTACACTGCCTTCACTAAATAACAGGTTTGTTTTCATTTTTGGTTAACAGCTGGAATCACACCTGGATATTTCTGTAAATGACACACAATTAAAGTAAGAGGGTTTTATGTTTTATTTTGCTTTCCTTTTAATATATAGGGTAATGTTTTACAAACCTAAGTAAAAATTGTGTCTGAACCACAGTATCTTTGTTTGCAGTTGCTTACGTGGTACTGGAACATAAGAATAACACAAATAACTGTGTCCAAACCTCCAGTTCCTCTCATTTTCATCAGGGTCAACTGTAAAATGCAATTTAATCTTTGACTGCTTTTTGGTGCCATTTTGAAAAATTACTTGTCTGAAGAGCTAGCTATAGGTTAAACCATTCTTCCTCTGAGTATTCTGTACCTATTTAAATTAGTTTGTTTTAATCTTGGGCATGTTGTAGTGCTGATGTCAAAATTCCTGTCAAGGGAGGCTCTCCATTTTTAATTGCTGTTACATGTTTTACTGGGCAGTTAACTAGACCAGTAGCTCCTTTTTATAGTCTATGAGATACTGCCTGTACATTTTTCTCCTCCACCGTGCTACTTCCAGGCAGCCTGCACTTTCAAAGGCTAAGATTCATCCGACTGTGTGTCTACCGTGCACATGACTGCATCTGAGCTTGTCTCCTTAAGGGTCCGTTTTAATTGAGGAAGAACTAGTCAGGATGGTCTGACTCAGTCATAATTCATCTCATCCCAATCTATCTTCAGTCAGTTGAATTATGTTCCAAAAGGGCCCGTTTCTCTTTGTGAATAAAAAGGGAGGCCAAAGCTGCTACATCAGATATCAATAACAAAAGGTAGCTGAGTTCCACCCAGTCAAACTGTGGCTCTCAGAATGTCTCAGAGCTGTGCAGGAGGCTCAGTGTGGTGCTGCTGCACACACAGGCTGCCCTAAATGGGCAGTGTATCCTCTTGCAGTTAGTGCTGAAAAAGTACAACTCTTGTAAACAAGAGGTTTTGTTCTAAATTATTGCAGAAGACCTAGGGGAAAATCCCTATGGGATCAAAATCCTTTCTGGACAAAAACCTAACCAACCAAAAAAAAATAACCCCAAAAAACCAAACCAGCAACAAAAATGCAAAAGCAGATTAACTAGTCGTCTGTTGTATGTTCTGCATGGCAAAAATAGGACTTGTAGGTTTTAAAGATACAAAAAAGCGTTAAGGCACAGGCAGCATGAGACTGAAAAGGAATGTCATGGTGTAACAAGTTCCCTGAAAGTGTGATTTTTGTGCTTTCCTTTTCAAGTATTTCCACTGAAATTAGAATGCCTAATTGCAGATTAAAATGTAGCCTTACAGACATAAGAGTGGTAGAGATAGGCTACAAAGCCTTTGAGTTGTCAGGTATGATGGATGTTTGAATTTCCAGTACTTTTTCGGAACTCGCTTTCACTTCAACGTGTGGGAATGGTTTGACAATACTGCAGTAAGTGAATATGAAGTTTGCAGATGTTATCAAAATTGTTGGTTTCTGATAACTGTGTGCAATCTTGGGATTCTCATTTCTGACAGCATTGAGTGGATTGGTTAAAGCCTAATTTAACTTGCATTGGAGAATGTGTGATTATAATTTAATTAGTATGTTTTGATTACATAGTGACTGTTCTCATGATCTTTGTGTTATGAATCACTGTGGATGAAGAAGTGATTTGTTTAGTGATCTTTATTTGCTCATAGACTTGTGAATTTTGGATACGATTACTGTGAAGATCAAGATGTTGGATCTAAATCTTTGAATCTTCAGGTTTTTACAAGTAAAGCAGGTAATGAATAAATATAAGTATTGTCAAAATGATCTCCATTGGTAATTATCATGCAGTGTAATCATAATTGGTTACTGAATTTCTTCAGAAGACCTTATATATATTTGTATTTTTTGTGTGAGTTTTTTGTATGAGTGTCAGATTTTTATTCCTTTTGAGTATACTTGACAGGTAACTGTGAGGAGAGGGAGAAGGCAACTGTACGCTATTATTCTTACTAAGTTTTTTTTACCCTCTGAAAGCTGCGTTCCAAGTATGTAATTATGTAAGTATGTAATTGTGTCACAGAGTGGACACGTGTAAACGGAGCATATAGAATACAGATTCTGAGAGCTTCATATTGCTGTAAGTATGTGATACTTGAAGGTCCAAGTATGTGATACTGAATTTAGTATGTGGTACTTAAGGGTTTAGTATATATAGGATTCCTTAAACTTAAACCTAAAATGTTTCTTAAACCTTTAGGAGTCCCCCTGCATCTTAATGCATGGCATGAGGTTTTTTTGATTAAAAACTGGTCTCAGGAGACATCTGTTCATCACAGATGCCTGCATTTTCAGCTCCTAAATTAGACCATACTGCCAGGCAGAGATGGTATCTGATAAACCTTTGAATAGTCTACAGAGTTGTATAGGGCTATGACGTGTTTCAAAACTGGCTTTAAATCTCGCTTCTTAAGGTGTGCTGTACGCGCATGGGCGAATTGCTGGGGTATTTGCCGGTTGCATTGAAGTTAAACCTTACACAAATCAAGTGAAATACAGTGAAATACAGTTTCCTTACACAAATTTTTTTTTTTTTCTTCCTAAGGCAGACAGCAAGCTTATAAAGACTAGAGGGAAATAATTAGAAATAAGAGAAAACCAAGTTTCTATCTACCAAGTGTAGTTTAGGCTACTTTTTCTCTGTTAGCAAGGCAGACTACTTCTTATACAAACAGCCTGTCTAATAATGGAAAATGTTACTGATTTGTATATAATTTTTTTCTTTTAAACCTGTACTTCTCTAGGATTTGTTCAGATTGAAGCACTTCCTTTTAGTTTAGGGTGAAATTCAGTCTTCCTCCAACAAAACTGTTGTTTGATTACCCTGAAGGAAAATGTTCTTTTCCATCTGGCACACAGTATTTAAATTCTGTGTGGAACCTTTCACATGCACTTTTCATTGCACTTAATGTAAAACACATAATTTGACAATTACACTTACTAAATGAGATTATTGTGTGTGGCTTTTCATTGAATGTTGTTTGAAACTGAGAATTACTTTGCATAACCCATTTTGAGTAACTGACAGTATGGAGCAAGTGGTTTTGACACTGAGACCGTATCTAGTTGTCAAAAAAGAGTGTGGGTATTCACACTAAAGTTCCCTTTTGTACCTCTTGTTTGTGGTGATTCCAAAAACTGGACTGCAGGCTCCTTGGGGTGCAGACTATGCCTTTTATGGGACTGCTAGCATGCTTCCAATAGTAATGCTGATATCCCTGTGTGTGCCATTCGGGCGTCTCTAGCAAAGAATACTTGGCATAACTTCAAAATGGAATATTCCATGCAATTTCCCGTTTAATAAAACTGATATTGGCTACTGCCAATCTGTACTCTGAATGAAATCACTCTTCCTTTCTCAAACTTCTGCAGTAGAAGAAAAGTAGCCGTGTTCCTTATACTCAGCACAGACAAAATGTCTCCAGATAAAAAACCACCATGTGCTTCTAGATTAGCTGAGATCAAGCAATTCTAGTCCGAGAATTAACTTTGCAGGGTTATCCTGCATGAGTAGAACTTTATTTTGAAATGCTTCCTTCTTTTACTTTGTTGTGGTTGAGATCATTTTTATTTTTGAAAAGATAAGAGTCCATCTAAATATATCTTCACGTGAGTCTTCTCACCTTGTGGCATTTATCTACAGCTCTTACTGTTCGCAAATGATTTTGAAATGGATAGTGTAGAAGAGTTGGTGCTGCCTTTGTGTAAAACACTTAACATATAAGTGCAATTGGATAACAAGCTTTCTCTGGATCAGCAGATCCCAGCTCTAATTTGCAGAGAGCCCTGGTAAGGGTAGGAAAGGAATTTGTATTATATTCTCAGTCTCTGACTGCTCTAATGGGATTGCCAGGACGGTATCAGATGTAATTGCTTGGACACTTGCTGATCTGAGACTGTCGTGTTTCTATCTGTATTAGTGGAACACCGTTTGGTATTTTTTGTTAGTCATAGTTCAATTTCTTAACATTTAGACCAGTATCCTAGAGTTGAAAGATGCATGTCCTATTAATAGTCCCCCATAGCCACTGTTTTTGTGATCAGCTTGCTTATGTACCCACCGACAGTTCAACCTGAACAGACTCACTTGTATGTTGTGCAATTTACAGAGCAGTGTATACACTAGCCTCCAGCATACAAGAAAGAAATCTGCAGTGTTGGAAGGGAGCTGTTGGTAATATAACAGCGTTGTGGGTTGCTGGAGCTTTTCCAGTCTTCCTCATGAGTCCTGATGCTGCTACTTTAGAAATTATGCATGCTCTGAAAGATGCCAAGTGCTCTGGCAAAATGCCCTGTCTGTTGTCTAAATGACTCAAATATCCAAGCAAAACTGTATCAAATAATATTCAATCAGCTAAGGATAAGCAGAAAAAAAAGTGCATCTCAAAAGAAAGTATTTACCTTCCCCAGAAGTGTGAAGTGCTTCAGCCATACCTGTATCACAGCTATGGTACAGCCTTGCAGTCTGAAGTACGAGGCATTTAACCAAGTAAAATACCTTAGTAGCTGTGCTGCTTTTTCCATACTGTGCCTTTTTCTGTATACCTTGTATATATAAACTTTTTTTTTAGTAGAAAAGTATCTGTATTAGTATTACCTTTTTTTTCTTTTAAGTGATAAACTTTCAGTAAAGGTAAAAGGTGAATGGTCACAGTTGTGGCCCAGCTTTCCCACTGGATTGGGATAATGTGGCTTGGAAGCAGTTTCTAAAATGAATGCCAAAGCAGCTTGCCAAAGCATCGGAGTAAGTGGATTAAAGTTTTTGTAAGAGATGGAGGGAGGACTACCATCCAGTGGAGTCAAAACAGTCTATCAGTTTGATT